TGTCCGAATTTTCGTTTGCGTATAAGATGTTACGAAATAGCATCCAGCTATATGACAATCGTGGGAGTCGTAGCGAGAATTTTCGAGAAAGCTGGTCGGGGAATTCTTTTTAGATTGCGCGGAATATTTATAGGCGAGGATTCTGCGAAGTGAGTCAGAAAGAAAATATCAAGAATCTTGTCTCTTGAGAAACTAAGTAAGAGGATGTGAAAAATCAATATTTTGCAGATGCGACTTAACGCACCTGATATAAACACACAAGGTATATTTCGCGAATAAAATCACCTCAAATTCATTCTCTCTTATTATAATATATTTCTGAACATTTCTCTCGCTTGATTTGTAATTTTGTTTAGATTTTACGTCTGTTTCTGGAATTTCTAGTGAATTATACTGGCTAGTAATACGTGCGACCGACTGAATAAAAAGGAAGCGCTTTTTCCGAATATATTTCGTTGTATAAATTTTTTTTACGACGTCATGAAGTACTTTTTATCGCAGGACGCGGCTTTCTTTGTAAAATAAAATATTTAAGACATCTTGTGGCACACAACAATGGCTCTCGCCATTCCCGACAGCTTCATACATGCTCATCTCAATTTTCTTTCCGCGACACAATCTCTCGTCGCGTGCGCACAATATTATGCGAATCCTCGCGACGTGACTACAACCGTACTCGAGTTATCCTCGCGAGGAATTCCCGGGTCCTGAGTAGCTTCCTTTTCGTTTCCATGGTGATCCATGTAGGGCACACGCGAGCTTGGAGAGCTTATCGTGATGTATGCGATGAAGTTGCGTCTTCTCTCTCTCTCTCTCTCTCCCTCTCTCAATGATTCTTTCAGACTGGGCAAAACTTTATCTCCAACTTTTGTGTTCCGACCTTCTTTGATTGCATTTGTTACCACATTGTATCTCTGATCGACACAGCTCGGTCGTTCGGACAATTGATTTATTACGTTAATTGATCGCAGACGCAACTGATCTTACGTTAATATACAATTTTTATGATATTTAATATTTATGAAATTATTATCGCGATTGGTTATTGATCAATGCTAGATACGTGTATGTATATCTTTAAAGGGAAAATAATCACGTTTAAAAAATATTTTTGCATGATGAAATTAATCGGTTTTTTAAAAATTTACTAAATTCTTTTAAATATATTCTCTACATTTTAATGAATACATTTTTTATAATTATTAGATCGCTAATAATTATAAAAAATAATTACTTTTGAAAAGATAGACGATTAGTCAGATACACCTTACACATACCGTGTAGCAAACTCTCAAACTTATGCCACGTCGAGGCATAAATATCATCGAGCTAAGAGTATATGGTCGCAACTTGCAAAGTTTAGGTCAGAAGAAGGAGGAGGAGGAAGGGGAGAGAGAATGGACAATGCACGAAGGTCGCCTTCTACAGCATAATAAATAATTCACGCAATTAAATATTTATCCGGCTACCTATGAGCGGCTGTTTAGTAAATCCGGAAATAAATTCTCACGGGTCGCGCGCGCGAGCGTGGGTGCTATACATATACAGCATTAAACCATGTTTTTGCGTGCAGACACTACGCTATATAGAAACGCCGGTTGCTCTCTCTCTCTCTCTCTCTCTCTTTGCGAAAAAGGGAGGTTTGGCCGGATTAAATGGAGAGAGGGTCGTGAAAGCAGAAAGGGCTTTGCCTATATACGGTATAGATCGCGGCGTGGGCGAACAAAGCGGTATTATAGGAATATTTCATCGTGATAAAGACATCTCGGGCGCGAAGGGAGTGCCTATAGCCCGAATTTTTTCAAGTTATTGGGATTATCGTATCAGTAAAGCATGACTGATATTTAGTATACACTTGAGACATTCTTATAACGTTGTATAAATTATATTAATGCTCACTAATATATCAATTTTATTAATATATTAATTTTATATAACTCGCTGTGCTAAAATATGTTTATTAAACTATGTCCATAAAAGTTGAAAGTTGAAATATGATGGTATAAAAAATGTACTTTCTGAGTTTCTTTCTCTTATAGAATTTAAAATATTTTTTTTTTTTTTGTTTAAAGAAAGAGGTGAGTAATTTATGTTTAATTTATGTCTCTAAAAAAATATTTCGTGGTTTAATATTTTCAAAAAGAAAAGCAATTTACGTAGTTAAATTATTTCTTAAAATTATTAATTTTAAAATGATTTAACATTATTTAGCTTGTCAATGGCGCATTTTCATTTATACAAAAAGCAGGCGACTGCTATTATATATGTTGTTTTTCTTAGAACAATGCGCAAAAACCAAAGCGGCGACGCTTAAGACAGCGGTTTTCTCAAAGGCTTTTCTTTCATCTTAAACGTCGCGTATTGTAAAAAACCGATGGCGATTAATCAAGCCAGAACGTCAAGGCGTAATTCGTCATCTACAGGATTATTAATTATTTCTGTCGGTTTTATGTATCCCGTCTGTCTGCTGGATCCTATCTACCGTCTACCTATTCTCTCCGTCTCTCACAATGAAATCTCTATTCTAAATAAATTACTACAATTAATGTTTCCTTAAATACATTTAATGAATATCTCTGAGACAAATTGAAGCAGTCTTGAACAGATACGGAATGTGTCAATATTCAAGCGATAGCTTTTGAAATGTAAGGGTTTAAAATTGGTCAATTACAGGCTATGTTTAAATGATTAAAATTAAATGCTATTATTTTAATATAATTAACGTGTATAATAATTTACCTCATAGACGTCGTCGTTCGATGTCTTCCGGGGCTTCCCGCTCCTCTCTTTGTCTTTTACTGCTTCTACATTGACTGCATTCACATGACACTCGCGACAATGTAGTTAATTACGATCATACGTGCACTAATTAGCAGAATACTGCACTTTAATCGCGCGATACTTTGCACGGCATTTCTGATATTAATCATACGCGACGCGCACTTTATTATATTGCAGCAACAAAGAATAACGCGAATATTACGTTACACGAAATTACAATCTCGGTAATTACTCGAAAATCGCGCAATCAAACGCTGCAACAATGCTACTTGCTAATGAATAATATAGGACCGCATTTTAGAATAATTTTCGTATTATCTCTCGAAATATATCCTCAAAAATGCTTCGAGATGCCAAACACGAATTCTCTACGAATAATTAAAAGTTATCAATCCGCGCGATTAATTAATTCTTGCGATTGATCCACGCAAGTGTACCGAGCTATTTCCCAAAGCGGAACTTTATTATATTTTGCATTATATGATAAAAGATTATAAAATATAAATAAATATATAAGTTAAAATTAAAAATAAATATCTAGAAAATCACAATATCTGAGAATATAATTAGGTAATTATTTACTATAATTAGTCGATAGTTTGTATAATAGAATTTCAATAAATCTCGCGAAATATGCTCTTTGACAAATTACGATATATACAAGAATTTATATGATACGTGATAGATAAAAATTAAGATACGAGATTAATAACGATTATGTTTAATAATTAAATATGTTGCGATGTAGTTTGACTCAAAGTCGATTCGTACTGTGTTCGCGATGATTTCACAATGACTGGAAAATACGAGAATGACATCGATTAATAACCCTCATGTTACGTGATATTACGCGAGAGGCTACTTAAGATCAATAGATTATTGGAAAATATTTTATCGAAACTCAATATTGCAAACGTAATAAATTTCCAACCGGTTTAAATACCGTGAAATAATTTTTTCGTTACTTGAATTATAGAATATGAATCGCGTTTGGCATCTTTTCGCGATCGTGTTTTGAAGAGTAATACAACGATATATGGAGCAAGCTCGCACTGCTGTTTATTTGCTCGAGTCTTATGTGTGAATGGCAAAGTCACGAGTCACGAGGTCATGATTGACATGTCAATACGGCGTAATGGGTGCGCCCTACTACAATGAAAAAATATCAGAGAAAATGACTAGGATTGACGCGCAGAGACAGAGAGATGAAAAGATTATCCGATCAATGTTCGTATATGAAAGAAAATATATTATATATGTTCCATCCATAATGTTCTTGGCAGTCTTTGATAATGATTCCATCAAGTCCTCTCATAAACCTAATTTTTCTTACGATTTTTAATTAACGTATTTCAACGATTATTAAATATCGTATTGATGTATCATGGTATTGGATTATTTTCGAGTTATTTCGATCCTGCAATTCGTATGTACACACTATTGCGTATATCTCAATTCGAAAACGATTAGCAAATTACATTTAAATCGGCGAAAAATTTAAAGTACGAGAGGCGAAAGATATTTATATTCGAACATATTTAACGCTCTTATCGCTAGTAAATACCACAGTGAAACAATTATTTATAATTCGGATTTCTATCTCTGATTTCAATGTTTCGAATGAATATATCGCGAGAAATACCTGCTTCGATAAATAACTATTGCCCCGGGTACGTTTAAAAAAGTCATCAATCGCGAGAATTAGTTAATCGTGAGGGCTGCTATTTAACGATAGAGAATGGAAAGTAATATAAATCTTTATTTTATTGCGACATTTATGGGCAACAATTATCTTTTTAAATATTCCTGAATTTTCAGAATATAGTTACATAATTTGCTTTGTGTTTTCGTCGATTTAGATGTAATCTGTCAATCATTTTTGAATTTGCGAACGCTTAATAATACACATGATTAAAGTATCCAAAAGTCATGTAATAAACGATCACCGCCATAGAATATACATAACATGTTCCGCGTATATTTATTAAATATTAAATTACGTTAAATATTTTGTGATGGAATCATATATTACACAGTGTTTTTTGTGTGTGTTCTCTCTCTCGTGTCGCGCGCGGCGTACGTCTCAGGAATGCGATTGTTTATAACAGCGCGCGGCCTTGACCTTGCTGTCATTCGCGCGGCGAGACTCGAGCGAGGAGTAGACAGTGACGTAAGCTGCTCTGCGTATCGATATATAATATTAATCATATTATCTTCGAAATGCGATTATTACAATTGACGATCGTCAGCTCGCGCAACTGATAAATTCTCTTCGATAAACGAACATCGTATAACAATATCGCAAGGAATAAAAGTAGCATTACCGCAGAAGTGGTGCGTGATTTTTGAGCGAATCGCAATTTTCGCATTGTTCTCTCATGGATATAATAAAATGCGTATCGCATGTGATTAAAGTCGGGACTGTCGTACAAAGTGTCGTGCGATTTATTCGTCGTATTTTGCTGATCGTAATTAACCGCGTTTTCACGAGTGAGTGCAATTCGTGAAGGAATAGCAAGGGATGATAAGAGAGGAGGAGGAGGTCCAGGGAGACATCGGGCAACGGCGGAGTGATCGTTGGGTAAGCAATTAATTTAATTATTTGTTGTTTAATTATTTATTATATCTTCTCAAAGTTTGTTTAAAAAATTTTTTCTTTGTGATTATATACAATTTATTTTATTAAATATTTATGTGAAAAACGAATAAAAAATTTATTTGCAATCAATATAATTAAATATTAATTAATATTCTAATATTTAAAAGATTTAATTAATAATTTAGAAATGAAAATGTTTAAATATTAATTATTTTAGAAATTTTTCTTATGTATATATATATATATTTTTTTTACGCACACAAGAAAAATATATAATCTAGAATGTTTTTATTTTACAGATCATCATTGTGTATTGCAACTCCGCCGCTGCGCATCGTACTGGTGAGTTTAAATTCTTTTACTTTATAATCTCGAAAAATAATGAATTTACGAAAATTGGAACTGATACACGCACACATATAATTGCAAAGAAAGAGATCAGTCATGTTGGAAATGCCATACAATTATGTAGTTGTTGTTATTATATTCGCGAGGAAATTTTATTTTGTAAGAAAATGAAAACGATCGGGGGAAAGAGATTAAACGATGGGTAAGAGATTTGAGATAAAAAAGGAGTAGTGCAGCGGACTTGCGCGCGGCATCAAGCCGCACGTAACTCCGGAGCGCAGTTCGTGCGTGAGCGACGTAATAACATTTTGGGAGATGGGATGAGGGGGCGATTCGACGAGATGGAGACGATAGCGGCGGCGAACGTAATGAGGATGCGACGAGGCAAGAGGCAATATAGGCGGGCGTACATCGGGGATGGGATCGCTTCCGGTGGTAGCAAAGGTAGGATGACGGGGTGAAGGAGGGTTTACAAAGGGTAAACGAGGATGAAGGTGCGTGGAAGCAGAAGCAAGGAGGAGGACGTTCGGCTTCTTCTGAGCTGGCCGTGCACAATCGATCATTACGTTAAGGCTCCCTCAAAGCTCTCGACTTGACCGGTCGGTCATCGAATATCCTAGAGAGGGATGGGTTTAACAAAGGGAAAGCGATAACGACAGGTGCGCGACCTTGAATGATATAACGAGAAGCGTAGTCATTGCAGCATGCAATGTGGATTCTGACTTTACCTGTAATCTGGCTCCGAGTTGAATTCAGTTTCGAAGCTTTCATTGGGATAATGCTCGTTATCGATATTCGAATAAAATGCATAATCGCTATTAATTTCGCGAAAAGAACGAAATGGAATGAGTAACTAAAGCTCTGAGTGCTTCGTAAATATTTCGGCGTGATAAATCGAATTTTTTTTGTCAGTTAAACTTCTCTTTGCGGCTGAAGTTTTTACGGGGAAAAATAATATTACTCGCGGCTGTTAGAAGAATTTTTTTTTTAGTCGAGCTATAAAAGGTTCAATCGATATTAAGCTGGTACAAAGAGATTCGCGATAGAGGAAGAGATTTACAATAGCGAGAAGTAAATAAAAATGAATTCCCTTTGTCCTGCGTGCTCGGAGATATAGCGTAGGATCGTTTTGATTCGAGTGCTATCGAGGTAGATGCATTATTGCGACATCACGAGTATTCGCGTATCAAAAAGATTGCAGAGAAAATATCATACGGATTTCGACACGCAATAAAACTTGGTATTTCTCTTGAAGAATTTGTTATCGTTTCTGAGAAAATAGTATAATATACCACATATATAATCGATATTTTTATTACGAAAGAATACATCAACCATAAATGCAGCGGTGTTGAATAAATTTAAAATTTGAAAAAGATTTAAAAAAGAATTTCGTGTACCGACATTCAGCTAAATATATAATTATTATCAACCTAGTTTATTTTAAATGCTTTAGAAAAGGATCGCAATTTCTGAAACATCTTGTGCATGCCTTGTATGCATCGTGCTATCTTCTTTGAACATTAGAATTTTGATGTATCACACGTATGTATCATGCCTCCTGCCTCAGGAAGCGAACCGATGCAAGGATCTCATCTCGCGAGATTGAAATTTTTCTCGCCGAAAAATTTCGACGGATTTTTATCCGCGTGAATATCGCCAGCACTCTCAATGATTTGACAGAGTTTAATTCGCAAAATGAATTGTAAATAGATGTCCCAAAATTTTTTAAAAATTTCTTATCACAAATTTTTTAAATTTTTCATTAATCTTGCGAGTTTCGAAGCATATAGTAATGATTAATTTTTTTCTATCATTGAGATTGTTTGAGAAATTATTAATTTAACACAAAATGTTTAAAAAATTTTTTATTATATTTTTTTCTGCGGTATTTATTATGATTAACATAGATATAGATAATCAAATCGTTTGCTTTAGACGAGTACTAGAACAGCTCATACGACTCGAATCTAATATGCAATGAATACGAATGCCTGTTATATGCCTTTGTGAGCTTTGAATGTGCAGTTCGAGACTGATCAGAGAGCTCTATCGTTATATTCCCACTTGAAAACACTCTTGACCATACTTGAGCACTTGATAGCCAGATATCCGATTATTGGCACTGCTCTATTTGTGCTTTGTTATAGTTGCACAATCACCGATTTCGCATCATTGTATCCCATTATTGTTTAACAATGACATTAAATATAACTTTACATTTTAGTATTATCAGTTTATATTTCAAACATAGAGTCTCTCAATATTTAAAATATTTATGAAAATTTAGAAAGATGAATGAAAAAAATTTGATTATTATTGTTTTCATGTTGCCAGTCGTCATCGGGCGGAACGATTTTTTCGCGCTCTCCATTTTTAGATCTCCCTCTATCTCCGGCGCGGATAGTCGGCGCCGACACCGGTTGTAAATTAAATAAGAGCACTTTCGCCGGCGATTGCGCTCGCGCGTTCGAGATCGAAAATATTCGACATTTCCGTCAATCTCAATTTATCCGACGATTTCGCGGCCCCCCGCGATTCCTACATCCAATTTTCCCGGCATCTGCCGATGGCCGCCGTCTCCGCCTTCGGGGAAAACACGGTCTGTTCGAGCGTTTCACGATAAAATTCATGGCGAAATTCGTGGGATTTCTTCGAATGCGACCGCTTCTCCCTCTCTCGTACGCGGGATATAAAAAATTTATTACGCATCTAAGGATGGCGCGGGCAAGAACTTTTAATTAATCCCGTTTAATGCGAGCGTTTGTTCTAACGATAATCTGGATTTGCCGGTCTCTTCGCGTCTTAAAGTTTTTCGACCGATAGCCGCGGCTCGTTGCATCAACGATGAGAAACTACGAATTACTCCCGATGATGGGATTTTCAAATGGCATCCAGAAAGCTATCGAGATTGTTACTGTCTTATTAAAGAAATGCATTTTTTTATTAAGGAGGCATTAATCATTTCTATCAAATATTGCAATCTTTGACATTTAAAAAACATGCTCGTGCATATTCTAGGTGCGCGTACATCTCAGTTCTTGAATATAATAATAATACGTCATAAATAACTCTCTCTCTCTTTCTCTCATAATTAGACTAGCATAGCAATCGGATAGTATAAAATAATATTCTTATTGCTGTGGCAATTTAAACATTATTATTTAGAATTTATCATTTTACTTTTTTTTATGACATTTTATTTGGATTCAAATTCGCATTTTATATACTCGTAATAAACACATATATTTGTAAGTTGATGTGGGGCGAGATTGGCTATTTTATGTATTTTTCCATGGATGAATGTAGCATAGATGGATGCAATTGATCTGTGTTTGTCGCATTGTAAAAAATCGCGATTTAAATTTTTTACGATGCGAAATAGAGGTAACCATGTTGGAATAACGCTCTCGGTCTATTTTTTCGGCAGATGAATTTTATTTATCCCTGTGTAGAGCTTAAAAATTTATTTATTAAAAGTAGGATATAAATTATAATAGAAAAAAATCGTATATTAAAACAAGTATATATTATATATGTGATTATTGATATATTTTTATGAAAACGATCTTGATATTGATATGAAGCTACTGCGTACGAGAATTTTAGTTGTAATTGAAAGTTTCACGATAATAAAATAAAAAGTTGTACCGGATATGACGGGGCGAAGATTCCGACAGACATATTCATCGATAAAATTCCAATCGAGGGGCTATCGTGTTTCTATCTTTATCGAGATAGACGGTAGGAATCCCGTTCTCGGAGAGGAAAGAGAATGAAAGGGCTGTATATCCCAGTATCAAACGGATTAAAGGGCTGGCGGGTACGATCCTGAAGAGTAGCGCACGGCCTATCTGAACGGAACTGACGTCATCTGCCAAGGTATCTATAGATAAGGAAGAAATACGCGGATCGGCTTGGCAATGGACCAGCCACCAAGGTCGTCTAATCCTCGGATCAACCAGTCTGGAATTGTGCCCTCGATGTATCTACCAGCCGACTCAGACATATTTCTGGTGTAATGCGTCCTGTCGTTCGCCTTGGGGAGGGGGGAGGGGAAGGAAAATGCAATTCGCGACGAATACGCTGAGTAGAAAATATTGTACAGAAATTCATTTATAAATAATATAAACAAAATATCCGGGAAAAATATTAATTAAGTCGCTATCTGCACATTGGAATTGGTTAAATCAATCTAGATAACAACGTTGTTATTTGATCATTTCCTGCACATTGGAATTGTTTAAATCAATCTAGATAACAACGTTGTTATTTGATCATTTCCATAGTAATATTATTGCTTTGGCAGATCAAATGCCCATTTTCTAATTTTCTGCCGCAGATAGATACAATGATAAAATTTTACGCATTATCTATGTATTTATATTGTATTTTTATGATTCGATAACAGAAATGTCGCGAAGTTATCGGCTTCCATCTCCCGCTCTCGTTTATCTAGTGCTTCGTACTCGCCTCGTACGAGCTTATATACGCGATCTTAGGTAGACGAATATGTGAAGGGATGGATAGGCCAGGCTCTCGAAGTCTACCATGCATCGACGTCGGCTCGAGAGTTAGTCTGGCACGTAACTTTGTTAATATAATGTAATTATTGCTGGCTGTGCTGATTAGTTCGGGTCAGACGGGGCGCGAAATAAGGATAGCGGTGACGTCCTTAACATCCTGGCACTTAGCTCGTAGCGTCTCGTGTTTATTACATTGCGGTAGTATCACCCGACGTACTGCAATTTTTTTTCTTCTTTCTGAAATAGTCTGCGACGGTGTGCTTATTGCACAATGGGCGAGATATATTTGCTATCAAATTCTTGTTCTGGCAACGATTCAACGATAGGAGAGTGCAGATTTTTTTTATCACCCTTTATTCTCATCGATTTTTTTTCAGTTCAATATTCTCGAATATAAATTCTAAGCAATGCGTGCTTCAGAGTATTAGAAAGTTTTCAAGATATGTTGAAAAATTTAAAAAATTAGAA